TTTTGTTTTTTACTGTGATATTATATAAATTTCAAACGTTTTTAAATATACCTTTTTTTTTTTCGTTGCCTAAAACTCGCGATGACGTCATTTAAAATTAAATTTTGTGTAAACGTCATCATCATAATAAACACTTAAATCTAAATGTTAGTAAATGAAAATGAAAAAAAGAAAAGAATGAGAAATAAGTGGGGGGGGGGGGTTAGTGGAAAAAAGAAAAAGAAAAAAAGAAAATTTTAAAAGTTTTTCATCATTAAATTTTTAATAAAGAAAAAAATAAAAATATTAACAAATATGATTAACTTTTTTTTTTTTTTTTTTTTTTTAAATATTTTTCGAGTTATTTAATTATTACATTCGCAAAAAAAAAAAAAAAAAAAAAAAAAAATGAAGGAAATAAGAAAAGAGAAGAAGGGGAAGAAGGGGAAGATGGAGGAGAAGAAGAAGAAGAAAAAAGGGATAGTTTGATAAAATAAATATTTTCGTTTACCTCACTACAAATTATCATATTCTTGTGTTGATGAATCTTCAAAATGTTGATTAAATTTCTTATTATTATCATCATCATTATCTTGTTGTAATAATTTATAATATTTATTAACCAGTCGATAATTATTAATTTTTTTTACCGGGTCGTCGTTATTGAAAATATTTCTTAAATTTTTTTCCAAATGAAATTTTTTTATAAGTTCTTCGAGTCTGCATAAAAAAAAAAAAAAAAATTTAATAATTAAAAATAAATTTAATATAATTAAATAATTATATTAAATTAACTTACATTTTTGTATTTATGAATGAATTTGGTATTATTTGTTCAGTTTCCATATTATTACCACGTTTTGCAGCAACTCCTCTACAAATGGGTGCAAAAACAAATTTCCTTTAAACAAAAAAAAATTATAATTAAAAACATGAAAGATGGCCGACATTTTGATTTTTTTAAACTTACCTACAATCCACAGGCCTTTTCGAACCAGAAACCATAATTCCACAAATAGATATTAATAATAATATTTTTGCCAAATTGTACATCATTTTTTTTTCTTTCTTTTTGTACCTTAAAACTAATGAAAAAAAAATGTCTTTAAATCATTTAATCATTATTAATTAAAGTCCGAAAAATTAAAAAAAAAAAAAGGTAAAAAATAGTTTGATTTTATCAAAGATCAATTGTTCTAAATAGTTTTTAACGAAACTTTTCCCCCCCCCCCACCTTTTTTAATTAATTTATTTCTTTAACTTTTCTTACTAATAAATAATCTTGAAAAATTTTCACACCCCCGCCCCTTTTCATCCCTTTCCTTTTTTTTTTCTTAAATTCTTTTTCAATCGTTTCTTTCTCTCTATTATTATTATTATTATTATCAATGAAATTTTTAACGATTTATTTCTTTATTTAAAATCTTTATATTTTTATCCTTGTATTGTTTGTCGTTGTTGTTGTTGTTGTTGTTTTCATTTATTATAAATAAATAAATAAATAATTTTTTTTTTTGTAAAAATCTTAATAAATGCGTGGTAAAATTTAATTGATTTTCAAATTTTATCAAATAAAAAAGGAATTATAATTTTATAATGAGGGTTTAATATAATAATAATAATAATAATCGAAAGCGAGTGAAATATTAATTAATAATAATAATAATAATAATAATGTTGTTGTTGTAATTGTTTGGAAAATGATTAAAACAAGGGGGAAATCCATTGTTTTTTTTTTTTTTAATATATATTAACGAATTTAAAATACTCATAATTTTTAAAGGTTTTGATTTGATGATAATGATAATAATAATAGTTATAAATTAATTAACAGGTGTTTAAATAAAATTTGTTTAAATAAAAAATTTTCCCACCCGTTTGTTTCGAATTCGAAAAAAAAATTATTTAAAAGTTTAATTAAACTTAATAAAATAAATAAAAATTTGATAATAAAAAATTAAAAGGGGGAAAATACATTTGTTGTTGTACCGGAAACGATTTTTTTTTTTATTACGTAACTTGTTGGATGCGTGCGTGGGTGTGTGTGTATCTTTTAATTTTTTTTTTTTGGGTTGGGGAGAAGGGTTTGAATAAGCCGGGAGTACTCCTGTAAATCAACTACTGGGAGGCTGGGTATAGAGGATGTTTTAGAGGCGGGGGTTATGGGTTTGGATTTTCCACTTTGAATAGGCGTTCGCTAGGAGTAAATTGGGATGTTTTGGGGGGAGGGTGAGGTAGGAAGGTTGAGTCCAAAAAGGGGGAAATCGGCCTAAAAGTCTCTGGGACGAGAGTTTAAAATTTAAGAGGGGGGTTCAAGAACAGACCCATACCTACAAAAGGGAATAAGTGCCCTAGCACCCTTTTCGAGGGGGTGAAACTGATTACATGATCCAAATAGGAAAAATGCGGAGCTGAACGATCAACGGGATTCCTGATCCCAGACATCTCACTCCCCCCGGAAATTTGCAAACTCTACGAAAGAGGCGGGAACGATAGTAACAGATCGGGATTGTCTCTCGAAGGGTAAAAAAGGGGAAGCACCAGGATCATCCTCGAGTAGGGACCTGATGGTTCTGGATCAGGAGGAGGTTGAGGCTAAAATGCAGGTTATACTCCCACGAACGCCCCTCCTCCCGATAAAGAGGAGAAACACATCCAGGAGTTTTAGCTGGGTAGTGTCTTCAGCTAAGTCTTCCCACCCACTCCCTTCTCCCGGTTAGGAAAATTAGTACGAAATACATTTCTCCTGTGTTAAAAAAAAAAGCAAAAAAAGAGTTTGGACCCCGAAAAAAAAGAAATTAAAAAAATTTATTATTATTATTATCATTACTATTTTTCTTAACGATCGTATTAAGATTTGAAAAGTTATTAAAAAAACGTTCATGCACGTTTAATACATAAAAAAGTTTTCTTTTTTTTTTATTAGAATTTCGTATGTGATTTATTAATATAAAATTTATTATTATTATTATTATTATTATTATTATTATTATTTTTAAATGTCATAAAAATAAAATAAAAGAAAAAAAAATAAAATTATCTTTTTTTTTTTTTTTTTTTTTTTTTAAAGTTGTAATAAATTAAATGTTTTATTATTAAATCCTAAAGCAAAATTATAAAATTAAAAAAAGAGAGAGAAAGAGGGAGGGGGGGAGAGACAGAGAGAGAGAGATAGAAAAATTATACAATTTGATTGTCGATTCTAATAAATTGTTATTTTATATATATATATATATATATATATATATATATATATATATATATGTAAAACTAATTAAATAAATTAACTTTTGGTATTTTTTTTTCCCTTCTCTTTTCATTTTGTTTTCTTAAACGTAATCACAAATAAGAAATATTTATTATTATTATTATGCATAAACAAAAAGAAAATTTAAATGTTTATGATAAGTTAAAACTACTTATAAAATTTTTATTTAAAAAAAAAAAAAAAAAACAACCCCAAAACAAAAATTTTAATACTTGCTTTTTAAAAACTTTTTTTGTTTATCCAACCCCTCCCCCCCCCCCCTCCCCCCATAAACTAAATCCATAAAATGAATTTATTATTAAAAAAAAAAAAAAAAAACGTTTAAGATTAATATTATTATCATTGTGAGATACTGTTATAGATAGATAGATAGAATTACTAATGTTACAATTAGTTAACTAATGATTTAGTTATAATAATAATAATAATAATAATAATAATAATAATAATTTTTTTAGTTTGTAACTCACTTTTAAAAAAAAAACTAAAAAGTTACATTGTTAGTTAAATCAAAAACAATTTTTTTTTTTTATATAATATTTAAATGCCTAAAGCATTTTTATTATTATTATTATTTTAAATTAGTTTTCCTATTTAAAAAAAAAAAATTTCATATAAATAAAAATTATACATAAATGTATAAAGTTTAAAGAGGATTGAAAAGTTTTTTTAATAATAATAATAATAATAATTTTCAATGGATTAATTAATAGTTAAATTACTTTTTTTTTTTTAATTCATCAAGTTTTTAATTTTATTATTATTATTATTATT